GCGGCGGGCGGCCGGGTTGTGGGCGGGCGGCGCACGGAGCGCATTCCGGGCCTCACTCGGCTTTGTGTCTTCCAGAGTGTTTCCTTGGGCCTTGTGGCCCTCGTGACGTCCAGGAATCTCCTTCAACCACGACTGGTGAGGGTAGTTTATGGAGTTTTAATGAGGGGGCCTTGCGTCAGAGAAATAGGGGCTGACTCAGCTTCATCTTTAAGTGGGGAGGAGGAGACCCAACTAGAGAAGCCCAGGTGTCTATGGTCAGTGGGAGCTGGGCCACTCCAGGCCGCTCACCTGACCTTCTGACCCTCCAGCACTGGGCCCTGCTGGCGGTAGCTCTGGTGAACCTGCTCTTGTCCACCGCCTGCTCTCTGGGCCTCCTGCTCGCTGTGTCACTCACTGTGGCCAATGGTGGCCGCCGGCTTATTGCCGACTGCCATCCAGGACTGCTGGACCCTTTGCTGCCACTGGACCAGGGGCCTGGACACGCTGACTGCCCTTTTGACCCCACAAGAATCTATGTGAGTGTGTTCTCAGCCTTTTTTCAGTCCCCAATGCCTGGGCCTGCCCCTGTAATCACCCCAACTTGCCACTCTTGCCCTACTCCCTCTTAGTCCCTCCATCCTCCTCTTCACCTTTTAGGATACAGCCTTGGCTCTCTGGATTCCTTCTTTGCTCATGTCTGCAGCGGAGGCTGCTCTGTCTGGTTACTGCTGTGTGGCAGCACTCACCCTCCGTGGGGTTGGGCCTTGCAGGAAGGAAGGGCTACAGGAGCAGGTAAGGAAAATGAACAGGAAGGGTTCATTCAACACAGATTGGCTGTGTTGAAAAGATGCTGAACTATAATTCAGGGCCAGAGTACTAACTCTACCCTCTTCTGCAGCTGGAGCAACTGACAGAGCTCGATTATCCTAAATGTAAAGGGCAGGATAATGAGCAGCTACTGGATCAAAATCAAGAAATGCAGGCATCACAGAAAAGTTGGGCTTAGGACAGGTAATGGGCCATGAGGATTGTAACCTGGGAAAGGGTAGGGGCAGGGATTACTTTTAGAACTGCGTCTAGTCCCTTGCTATGCTGCTTGCCCTCTGACCTAGGTTCTCTCTTCTATTAAGCAGGTGCTGATCCAGAGGCTCAGTCCATAGGGCTTTCCACTGACCCCAGGATGATATAAATACTGTAATAAAAGAACTCTTCCACTTGATTCTGATTTGGGAGGAAAGGGCACTGGGTGACCTTAATTAAAGAATACAGTGGTCTCTGTTAGTTACAAGAGTTTAATGAGTAAAGAACTTAATATTCTTCCCTGAGCTCTACCAGTTATTGAAAGGAAAAGCTGGTGCTGGGTATCCCTCCACACCACTCACTGATGAATTTCAGCACATCCTGGCACACTGGGCTGTGCGAGGTCTGTAAGCAAATAGAAAGAACATCAGAGGAACTCAGCAGTGCTGAGAAAAACATTCCTGCTATAAAGAAAATTAGCTCCATCAGTATGGGCAGCAGGCAGGGTTCAGAGCATGCACCTGCCTTCTTGACAATCCCACCATCCTCCTAGATTGTTTTCTTTAGTGCTATATTCTCCCTGCCCCATCATTCAAGTCTCCCCGCTCTAACCTTGATAGCCATAAGGAACTTATTCCAGTTGTCCTTGTTAACTGCCGTCCCTGGCCGCTTAAAGTCAATTTTGTTCCTCAGAATGGGGTATCCTGTAGGGAAAGGAAAAAAAGATGAACTGGGGATTGAGGGGGAAAACAGTAATTTAGGGGTAGGGATGTTCTTGTCTTCTGCATCCTTTACTAAATCAGTAAAATAGTGTTTTGTTTTAAATATGTTTATTGATTTCAGAGAGGAAGGGAGAGATAGAAACATCAATGATGAGAGATAATCATTGATTGGCTGCCTCCTGTACGCCTCCTACTGGGGATTGAGCCCACAACCTGGGCATGTGCCCTTGATTGGAATTGAACCTGGGACCCTTCAGTCTGTAGGCTGATGCTCCATCCATTGAGCCAAACCAGCTGGGGCAGTAAAATAGTTTCTTGGTCCTGCTGTTTCCCCCTCCTTTCTGGGGTTTTATAGGGTTCTGTACCTGTAATGAGGCAGGGCAGTGCCCGAACTCCAGTGCTCGCTGCCACCAAGGAAGCCTCGTAGGCACCTCGCTCATCCCGAGGTAGGACCTGCTCTAGCCGCTGGTCCATTGAGACTGTGAGCACCCAGTCTCGAACCTCTTCTCTCTGAGTCTCCTGGGAAGGACACAGGGAGCACAGCTTCATACAAGGCAGGGCACATGGGAGGATGGTTAGTGGGGGAGTTGCTAAGCCGTCATCCTTTCACCCATAAATGGTCCTTGAATTGAGGGTCAATCACACCCTTAGCTTTTTCCTCTGTTTCTACTTTCACTGAAGGAATAGTGAGGACTGAGGTCATTCCAAAGATGTGGTGGGCTGATGGCTGGTACAAAGGGTTGGGAGGACCATCCTAAAGTGTCCTCCCCTCTCAGTGCACTCACACTGGCGAGCCTCCCATGCTCCAATCCTGGGTCCTTACCGGTATGTGCTGCTTGGCTGGGAGTGGCACCTCAAAGGGAATGTCTGTGTCCTGAAAGTCAGAGTGGTCAAGGGCATCCAGAGTCCCTTCCTCGATTGCCTGTGGCAGAGTGAGCAGCCATGAGATAGTCCCAGCTTGTGACAGGCAAGACCTCTGCACCTCTGGGCACAACCTCCCTACTCACATCGGTCAGATCTAAAAAGCGGTTGAGGAAGATGAATGCCATGTTCTCCCAGCCAACTGCCTGCAACAGAAAAGTTGCAAGTGGAAGTGAGTGGCTGGGCTTGGATGCTGCTTCTGCAGGATGCAGGGGAAGAGTCCAGGAAGACAGGAAGCTGCTCTCTTCATAACATCAGCCCCACACTCAGCTTTGTTCTACCTGAGCACACGGGGTAGTCTACCTACCAACTTTTGGTCTTGTCTCTTTAACCCCACCTTTCCTCATCCCAGCTTACCTTGGCAGCGATGCCTGCTTCATAAAAGGCTTTGTCTGCAGGTAGTAGCTGGGTGTGACGTAAAAGCGAAACAGAAAGCTTGGCAGCCACAGTTTCCTGTGGATTAAAGTCAAAGCACTGTGACCCTGGCACTTCAGTGACTGAGCTACCAGACTGAAGATCCTATGACTGAGGCAGCCATCAAGCCAGAAAACCAACATCATTGTTAAACTACTCTGCATCTCAAGCCATTCTGGGTCTTAGTATTTTCATCTTCACAGGACTGGGCACAGAGTATATATAAAGTTCCTTCCATTTTTAGAATTGTATCATCTAAGAACATGAAATAATGATACAATCTGTTATTAAGGCAAAGGTATATGTATAAGAGTTGAGTACAGAAATCATGGGATTTGAATGTTTAAGCATAATGAGGCTGCACTGTGTGGGCATGGAGCCCTGAGAAGTTAAAAGGAGGCAGGGAGAAAACCATCTCAGCAAGGGTTAAAGAGTTATTTGAACAGAAGAAAAGCTAGGAGAGAAGTGGGCGAGGGTTGAGAATCCAGAACTTGAATTCATTCAACTTCATACATTTGAAGAAACGTCCATAAGACTGAGTGCTTCTCCCCCATCCATCTCACCAGCTGTTTGATACTCTGGGCCGCAGATCGAGTGGCATAGTAATGAGCGATCAGCAGCATCGTCTCAAACTCCTCATGTGCTGGAGAGTTTGCCTCACTGGACTTCACCAGGTTTTCACACTAGAGCAGACAGAGCATAGCCTGGGTCAGGGATCAGAGGAGTACCAGGGCTATGCAGGGAGGTGCAGTACATCAGAGGGTAAAGATTCATGTGCATGAAAGACGAGACGAGGACAGGAACAGGCGGTCCACTGTTGTGGACCCGACTTCCTCACCAGGTTGAAGAGGACATCCCGAAGGTCAGCCCAACTGTGGTAGGCCTCAGCACTGTTGGTCCCAGGTGAGTTCACCATGTCAGTGAAAATCCTTTTGTAGATGTTGAAGTTCTGAAGGTAGAGGGGTAAAAAGAGCTGAGTGAGAAGGGGACAAAGTCATTGGAAGTTGGGTCAAAGAGAGGAAAAAAGGCTGTAAATGTGTGTGTGTGGAGGAGCTAGGAGACAATGATGGAGAAAGAACAAGAGTAAAAAAGGCCGAAACCGGTTTAGCTCAGTGGATAGAGCGTCGGCCTGCGGACTGAAAGGTCCCAGGTTCGATTCCGGTCAAGGGCATGTACCTTGGTTGCAGGCATATCCCCAGTAGGAGATGTGCAGGAGGCAGCTGATCGACGTTTCTATCTCATCGATGTTTCTAACTCTATCTCTCTCCCTTCCTCTCTGTAAAAAATCAATAAAATATATTAAAAAAAAAAAGAGTGAAAAAGAACTATTTCCTACTAACTGGTGATCTGTGACTGTGGGCAAATATGTGAATGCGAATGCAGTCTGTGAATGGGCTAATACTCCAGGGAACTGTGATGCTCAGATATGAGAGCCCTGTTCATTCACTGGGGGAAATCGGCCCTAGAGTTGTGTGTAGAGACCTCAGGTCCAGCTGCATTGGATAATGAACCCCCATCCCCAGGCGCTGACAAGCAGTGGAGAACTAGACACACCTGGAAAGCTGCTGCATCGTCTTTTGAGATCTTCCCCTGGGACCTCCCCTAAGATCTCCACCCTAAAACCCTTACAACTGAAGGCCCTCCCTCTTCCCCCGCCCCCCACCCCCCCAGGCTTGTTACCATTACTTTCTTCCCAAGCTCCTACCTAGGCCCTTCCTGTTCCCGTGTGTTGGCTAAAAGCTTGGGAGGTTGGTGCTTCAGTGGGTAAATCCTCCAGAGGGGCTGTACATTTTGGAGGAGACTGGGTGGGGTCCCTGGGCATGATACTGATCAAAGAATCCTTAACAAAGACAGTTCCTGAGGGCAGGGAGGTGCTCGAGAAGAAGGAAACAATTTCCCGGAGGAAACATCCCAAGGAGAAGCTGGTACCTGTGGGTTCGCAGGGGCTCCGTGCTGCACATACAGGGCCAGGGCCTGGGCACAGTCCCCCTCTCGGATCAGGTGAGTTGCATACAGAGCCACGTATTTGTGCAGAATCTTGTAGTTCTGCTCCGGAGGTGGAGGAAAAGCACGGGGGAGGTGGGGTCAGGAAGACCAGGCAGTAAGGGTGGGGTGGTGACTAGAGGCTGTGGATTTGTGTAGGAGGCGAAAGGCCAGCTTGGCCTCTGACCCCAATGTATGACTAAGCTCTTTGATGCTGATTAGTCATCTTTTGGGTTTAGAGGAGTAGGAGAGAGAGCTCTGGGACAGGTGTGGAGTCCAGGGAACTTGTACAGAAGAGCTGGGAATGGGAATAGAGAGCAGTACCTGCTTGGTAGCTGTTTCAATGCACTTGTCCCACTGGCCCTGCTCCACATACAGGTCCAAAGCAGCCACCACATCTACACCCACCAGCTGTGGATCAATGGAAAAAGAGTTAGGGGAGATATGACATGAAGGGGAGAAGAGGGAGAGAATCTCTTGAGTCTCTGTGTGTGTTCTGTCTCCTGCTAACTCCACAAGTCTCACCGAGTCCACTTTGCCCTGGTTCTTGAGGAAATCTTTATAATGCTGGTCCACATAGTCTTCATACCTGTGAAGATGTACAGAGAAAATACTTCATGGTCCGGGGTGGTCTCATGGTCATACCCTTCCCATGAGAACTTTCTCCCATTTTAAAAGGAAGTAAGAAAATTTCTCAGAGAGAAGGGGGATATGAACTCACCGGGGATCTAACTCCTTGGCCACACGCTTGGCCTTGTTCCACTCCTCACCCTCCATGAAAGCATCGATGGCTTCCTTGACTAGGTCCAGGTTCAGATAGAGCTCTGCAGCCTTCATGGTGGGAAATAGAAACTGGAGACCGTCTTTCTCCTCCTCACCTCCGTTTCCCCCTCTGTGAACTCTTCCCTCTGTTTCCCCAGAACTGCGTGCCACCAGCGCCAAGAGGCCCACCCACCTCATGCACCTTCCTGGGTGTAGATGTCACCATTCTACCCATCTCTGTGAAATCTGTCATTTCAGTCCCAGCACCCTACTTACTGCACTGTGCTTTCCAATTCCAATCAGCTGGGGTCCTATAGTCCGAACTACTTCCAGACTGCGTTGGGGAGGCAGAAACTTGATGGAGAGTTCGGCTGCCTGAGTGGTGGAACAGAAGATG